ATCGTCTAGCGTGCGCGCAAAGACATCAGCTGGGAGTGCGCGTGTGGTCAACGTGAAACAATAACACTGATTGCTGTTGTCCTGACGACTCGACACATACAATCATCAATGTGAGTGTTTGCCGCGTGCGCGTGTGTCAGACACATGACTTGGAATCACAAGCTATTGTGTGTGTGTGTGTGTGTGTGTGTGTGAGAGAGAGAGCGAGAGAGAGATGTTGATGAATTGAGTCATTTAGTTGAGTGTCTGCCGATTAATCCAGGCCGAGTGTTAATACAGGAGATGGCAACAGATTAAATGACGCGCATGAACTAATATTGCCAGCCTTTTGAAACACAAACAGACACAATCATACAGAAAAAGCTCGCCCATGTGTGTGTGCACATAGTGTTGCATGTTTGTGTATCAGGTGTGTGTCTGTGTCTCTGTGTGTGTGAGATGGTTTGTTCGATGTTTGTGTGCGTGTGTATCATCGTGAATGTCGTTTACATGTGAGTTAATGTAAGAGTGGTGAGCACGTCCGCCTCACAAGTACAGAGGTCGCGGGTTCAAATCCGGTCCGGTCCTTCCTGTGCGGAGTCTTGATGTTGTCCCTGTGCCTGCGTGAGTTTTCTAAGGGTATAACCGACGTACACGTGTGCATGTCACGATGAATGTATGCATGTTTGTGTGTGTCATGAATTTGTACGTGCGTGCGCGACTGAGGAATCGACAGTCGCAAAGGTAACCCGACACGCGAGGAGAGTGCGCTTGCTCACTGTTGGCGAGCAGCTGCTGCTGCTGCTGTTGATTGACAGCTCCTACAGCCGGGCCCCGCCCTCCTGCGCCTCCTCCTGGTGGGATGGCCCCGCCCCCTCCTCCTCCTCCTCCGGGTCCGCCACTTTGGGCTCCGGCCGGGGGGCTGCTCAGTCGCTCCTTGTCCCAGGAGCACTCACTTCCTCCTGGGCACAAACGAACAAGGAAATGAAAGAACAACAACTTCCTGCTAAACTTGTCGCCAATTCTCTCTCTGCCTTGTGTAATGGCGCCTCGCTCGGCCGCCACCTCACTCCCTCCGCTTGCCTTTTCTTCCCTCCATCATCCATCTTCATCTCCCTCCATTAGTTTGAATTAGCAGCCGTCTCTCTCTATTATTGCGCAGTGAATTCCCTGCGCCGTGCATGTCCGCTGACGCGCGCGTGTGTGTGTGTGTGTGTGTGTGTGTGTGTGTGTGTGTGTGTGTGTGTGTGTGTTTGAGAGAGACAGCTGGGCCTCATCCCCTCTGCGCTTACACCAGGAAGACAAGAAGTATAAACAGATGGGCAGATGTTCTCTTTCTTTCTCTCTCCTGATATGTACACCTTGTGGCGGCGTCCGCATGCAAATGTCTTTCCCGACAAAAAGCACTACTCTGAGCAGGATTTTTAAATGTACACAAAAAAAAAAAAAAGGACAAAATGGTCCATCCGGCCATTTGGCAGGTCGGCAAAGAGAATGGCTCGCCTTTCTTTTCGCTTTCTGCTTTTTGTTTTGCGTTCTTTCAATAATTCACAACGAGATATAATGGACCCTTTGTTGAATGCACGTCAAGCGTAAACGCACGCACGCACGCTTGACATGTTGTTTGTTTCAATTCAACACGTTATAGAGCATAAAAAAACCAACTACAATATAAACTTTACTATTGAAATAACTCAATAGCCTATTTTGAGATAAAACTGTTTTTGCTCTTAGTTCAATAGACATTGTGCTGCTCCCTCTGGTGTGTTTAACACAGACAACGCTTTCCAGTACACGGTCATTCGTTGCAGAAGATAAAGAATACACACCTGCCAGTATTGTCTAGTGTCTCTGTCTCTCAAGTGTTACTGGAGAGCCACGTCCATGCTGTTCGTTCGCCCAATGGCCTTTTTGCTGTTATTTGCTGGCACGTCCAACCGTGCGCGCGTATGTGCGTGTGTGTGTGTGTGTGTGTGTGTGTGTGTTGTGTTACCCGCATTGGAGTGCAGGTCATCGTTGTCCGACTCGTTTCCGTTCTGCAGACTCATCATCATCTTCATCTTGTGCAGCTTCTGGAGCTCGGCCATGGCGGCTGCTGTCAGGCCTGCACGCCCACACACACACACACACACACACACACACACACACGCGCACACAGCCAGTCAATATGCGCGCCCTCCTGTCACCTCCAGGTGGCGTCACCGGGGTGCCGGCGCCGGCTGCCATTGTTGCGCGCGTTGCCTTGAAGTGGTTTTGTTGGAGTGTTTCAGATGCCCCGAGGACACGTTCGCCGATAGGCGGCGAGACAAAAGCGCACACGCATGCATGCACAGCCGTGCACACGCCGTGCACGTGCACGCACTCTTTTGTACGGACTAAGATCCCTGGCTCAGTGCACTGACCTGGAACTGACTTCTATACACAACAACCACCAGAGTGAGAGAGATGACCCCGTGTGTGAGTGTGTGTGTGTGTGTGTGTGTGTGTGTGTGTGTGTGTGTGTGTGTGTGTGTATGAAGGAATGCATGCATGTTTTTTGTGTCAATGTGTGTGTGTGTGTGTGTGTGTGTGTGTGTGTGTGTGCGTGTAATGAGCATTCCTTCAAGGCCGTCAACCGTGGCTGGGGCAAAATCAACACACACACACACACACACACACACACACACACACACACACACACACACACAGAGTACCGTACAGTACAGTTGTCCGCAGGCTATGAAGAACACACGACGGTGACTGGCGGGGTCAGACAGTCGGCCAAGTGGCCCGACGTTCGGCAACCAAACAGGGAGAGACGACGGAGCGCCGGCGGTGGTCCTGCTTCAAAAGTTAACGTCCCCCAAGCATCGCGGAGACCAATTCCCGGCCCGACGCTAACAGTCGGCTGCTTGACTAGGACGCGAGCGGAAGACGATCGATAGAAAGGGAGAGCTGCGAGACTGTTCCCCATCACGACTATCAAACCGAGATCGATGGCTTTCCGCTGTGTCCACGGTTACCGAGCATCGACCCCCCCGTCGCTAATGGCGACCGAGGAACCTTGGGAATTAGCGCGTGATTGATTGACAGACTGCCTCAAAGACACTTGCATCATCACAACCTGCCTGCGAGTGTGCTCACAATACGCTTACCTTTCGCTTTCCTAATCCTTGGATACTGTTTGCTTTTCATCCCCGTGTCCTACGTTCATCCTCCAACTAATTCTCTCAATCACGAAGAGCGACGGATCTTTTCTAAATTGATGAATAGACATTAATAGATGGGTGATTAATTGTTAATAAATGTTTCAGAATAAAAGAGAGAGTCAAATGATAAACACAAAATGTAATGGGAGTATTGATAAAAGGCTTGTACAGTCCATGAGCAAAGCTAAATTCATTAAAAGTAATCAAACAACAAAAATGCTCATTATTTAAAATGCTATTATATAAGACACTTGGCTTCTTAGGCTAAAGTACTTTATGGATTAGCATTTCTTTTCAGTTTTGGACCTCTGTCTTTCGCAACCACCACCTTTCAGGTTAGCTTAGCAGTTAGCATGGCTTATTCTCATCCAGACCTTTGTGATCATGGCACTTATTGGCGCCATTGAGGCAAGTATTGTCGACTTAGTGTTTCGCCACGCGAGCAAGCTAGCTAGCTGCAGCTCGTAGAACCTTAGCGCCTAGCTTTCCTATTGTGTTCAGCGAGTACAACCAACGTAGACGGAGTTTTCGAGCATTGGGACAGAATTTGAGGCATTGAAATGGCGGTCGGGGGTCATGACAAAGTAGTCAAGCCCGTAAGACCCCATGAGCGTGAAACTCAGCCCATTTGGCTCCTCAATATTTGATGGTGCGCGCCGCCTCCGATCGAGCGAGTGCACTCTGAGAGACAGAGTGACACTTTGAATAAAACAAACAGCAAAAGAGAGGAATTGCTCTTTGTGTTCTGGATTTAGAAAGGCACTATTCTCTTATTTTTTTTCTTTGTACTCCCGTGAGCGCAGAGTTCGAAAAATTTCATGGGCGCGCCCCCGCACTTAAGTCGGTCATCTTTTACTTTCTCCAGCGGTCCGAGACGCCATTTTGTTATCGTTTGTATTTCCTTGGCGTCACCAAATGACTGAAACTTTCACTCAAATGATGTGGGCAAGGAAAGTCCCACGTCACTCACTCAACAATACACAAATACTACAGTACTTATAGCGTCTGTGGCGGCTTTTTTTTTGTTTGTTTGTTTTTGGGGGGAGACTTCAACATAATAGCATTTGAACTCATTTCAATGGGGAAAATTGATTTGACATGTGAAAAAGAATGAGCAAAGGTGAAAAGCATTAAAAGCACTTTAGCTTTTCTTTCTCCCTCTCTTCTCTCTCTTCTCTTCCTCCCTCTCCTGATCGCCCATCCCGACTCTCTGCAGGTGCACATGAGGGTCTTCAGATGAGTGCTTATTCTTTTCACAAGAAGATTGAAACCACTTCATCTGTAATCAACGCAACACTCCCGAGCGTGTGTGTGTGTGTGTGTGTGTGTGCGCACGCCTGCTTATCAGTGCAATAAGTTGTTGCGAGCAAGCAGGGTGTCTTTCTGCATTCTAGGAAGTGATGCGTGCGCTACGTGTGCGCGTGTTGAAGAGACAAGGCAGAGCATTGAGCTGTTTAGTGGGCGTGTGAATTAACAAGTCAAATGAGCGGCACAAAGAGCACCCTGAGAGGTTAGCACGCACACGCTGAACCTGACCGTCGCCGTGTCAGTGTCGGCGAGCACGCGGCCAACTAAAGTGATGATGCTTCCTCGAAATTGTCCACAGTTGTTGATGGTTGTTTGTCGATATTAGAATTAACAATCATCTAATCGGCAAGTATTTAAAAAGACATATTGCGCCATCTAGTGAATCGGTTATCTTTTTTTTTTTGTTTTGGGCTGATCAGTCCCAAAAATCCTGATTGTGTCAAGCCTAGTGTGTGCCCTGTGATGGGCTGGCGACCAGTCCTGGGTATATCGCCCAAAGTCAGCCGGCTCCATGTTACCAACGACCTGACTGAGGTTAAGTTATAGAAAATCGATGGATGGATGGATAATACTGGGCTGTTCAAGTGTGAGGTGCCAAAACTTCCAACGTGCTCGCATAATCGACTTGACAAGCCGAGATTCAGTCTTTATCTTCAACTCAAAAGCTGTGCTGATCTAAAATCGAAAGTGAGGCAATGCCGCCATCTCAAGGGATCGGTGTTCATCGTGACATTGGTTTCCGAACCTGAAATTCACAGACAAGCTCGGCCAGACGCTCTTCCACGAAAAGGGGCGAGAGAACAATGGGCACAACAACAGCAGTATCAACAGCGATCCCATTTGTATCAAGTGTCGACATTTTTAAATGATCCCATTCCTCAAAAATCACAATGCCCCATCACTGTCGGCTATTTTAGAACAGGCCTCGGGGCTGCCCGTGCGCTTCTTGGAGGCGACCTGGTAAAGAAGGAATGAATTTAAAACCTCGCCAGCCTTCATCGCCTCCTCGCCTGTCCGACCGCGTTTCGCCCTCCCGCCCCAAACTGCCTCTTTGCGTTCACCGTTTTCCAGCCGCGTGCCCCGCCCCCACACACCCCAGCGCTCACCGCCGAGTCGTAAACAACAGCTCGTCTCCCCCGGCAACCGGGCGTCTCCATGGACGCGAGGGCCGCCTCGACGATGTTCGTGCGCGCGAGGTTGAGGCCGACCTGGACGTGAGCGCTGCCAACTGTGCGCGTGCGCGTGCGTGTGCACTAATGAGCGATCATAAGTGAGCAAATGTTTTCTCTGGGATCCACAAATGTTCGCCAAACACTCTGACTTCTGTACACACGCATACCTGGTGTGTGTGTGTGTGTGTGTGTGTGTGTGTGTGTGTGTGTGTGTGTGTGTGTGTGTGTCATTAGTATGCCACAGTGAGCCGTGTCCATATGTCACTAAACACAAGCATGTTTTATTAATCCTGCAGTGGGGAGGAGGAGGAGGAGGAGGAGGAGGCGATGGCGGGAACGAGGAAGAGGAGTGAGAGAACTCCGAGAAAGTGGCAAGGCGGAAGAAGAGAGGAGGCCGAAAGGAGGACGGCGGAGAGCGGGAGGAAGGAGACCAGGGTATTGGAGAGGCCGAGCAAAAGCCGGAGGGAGGGGGAGATGGACAGATGGAGGAGCGGGACCCAGGAGACGAGTCATTCATCACACCAGCATGCCGCCTGCACTCGTTCACCTCCTATCTCCCTCTGTCAGGTCTTTCTCTTCCCTTCTTGCATCTCGTCTTTCATCCCTCCATCTTTCCAGCCACTTGCTTGCTACTCACATCTGGTCTAATTGCCCCCCACTCACCCCCACCCCTCCACACACCGCCATATCGTCCTCCTCCTCGGCGCTATAAAGGGAGGCGAGACAAGGCAGAATGGAGGCAAGAGATTCTGACCGGTGTGAGACAGCAGGTTGGGGGACAGCAGGCCGGGGAGGCCCGGGTGAAGAAGCCTCGGGCTGTCCTGGATGCCGGCGGCGGAAGAACAACGCTTGGGAGGACGACCCGGACGAGAGCTGCAGGCGGGAGGCACAGAGAGGAGAAATCAGAAAGGCCGTCATTGGTGACAGAAAGATCGCGGCAACGTCGGGTTTGTGAATTGGACTCACCACCTGGGCTGAACCATTTTGAAAAATGAGATCATTACGTCTTCATTCCATGCAATTTTTTTTAAAAACAAAGACAAGCGATAAAAAAACAATCGCAGATGTATTCTACATCAATGTTTTGGTCTTCTCGATTAGGCTTACGCTAAAAATCAAGGCTAATGCGCCATGAACAAGGCTTAAAAAAAGCTATATGAGTTTCTTTATTTACTCCAATTAAAGCTGTGAACTTGCGAAACACTTTCACTTACAGTCTTAAACGTTCACTCGGACATCCAGGGCACGACTGATTCATTAGCAGACCGATTTAATTGGCCGATATTAAAAACAGACGATATTAGCGCCATTAAAATCGACTTTTCTTATTTTATTTTTTTTTTAACCAAGATGATGATATTCAAGCACTCCTGCCAAAAAAGAATTGGCAAACATCTCACATGTTGGAAAGTTGAACTAAGACTAAAGGACAATGTAAAACAATTCGTGTTAAAGCATTAAAGCACCAAAGTTATTTTATTCATTATATATAGTTCTTAGTTAATCAGCCAATTAATTGTTGAACTGAATTTCTGCCAAATATCTGCATCAGCCTCAAAAAAAATCCATATCAATAGGGCCTGACTGATTAATTGGCTGGCCGATTTGATCGTCTGATAATAGCTAAAATGGCAAAAATAAAATTACCAAAACACGCCCCATTTTTGTTTTGTTTTTTTTTTGGTGGGGAGGGGGTTGTTTTGTATTTTCACACATTATAAGAAAAAAAATGACATTCAAACGTTCCCCACACACCACCTAAAAAATAATCCACATCGGCTGGAATGGATTCATGGCGTTTCCATTCATTTCGACCACCACGGAACCTGTCCCCTTTTGACCTTGGAAGCGCTTTATTGTGAAGGGGAAGCAGCGACACAAGCTCAAACATGACCACGACGCACTCAGCTGACAACTAAACATAAAACCCAAGCAGGCCAGCTCGCGGCGGGGCGGCTCACGCTAACAGATGGCCTCGCAAAGTCATTTACACCTAGCGAGGGAAGAAAAAAAAAAAAAAAAGATGCGAGAGGACCGAGACGCGTCTCTGCAAAACATTTCCGCCGTCATGCGACTCCTCAGAAAATGGGATCGATGCTCGCCAGGACTTTTGAGGCTGGTCCCGCTGGAAGGAGCGCCGTGGAGGGTGTGAAAAAGATGTGGCGAGTAAAGCGGCTTTTCGTGAATGTGAAAGCAAAACAGCATGAAGGAGGAGACAAGACCTTTGCATTTCATCTGAACTCAGATTCACCTCTCGACGTCACACTATTCCATGACCGTGTGTGTGTGTGTGTGTGTGTGTGTACAAAAGACACATGATAGCACCTTCTCATTACAGTTCTTTGTTCTGTGTGTGTGTGTGTCCCGTCGGGTTGCCATATGTCGGGTATTAATCCTCGTCAATGGTCCACTCGCTCTTCCACACAAAGAGCATGTCACACACACTCGCGCGCACGCACACACTGACCTACTTTGTAAATTCATTTGGTAACCTTGAGTGTGGCGAAAGCCTTAAATAGACATTTGTCCTCCTTGCCACGGGGGCCGGCAAACTGACTGGAGTCGCCAAACAGTCGCGCTCTGGACGCGCGGCGCTTTATTGTCTTAGGGCGCTTGCACGCACACGCCCACACGCACACACACACACGCAACAATCTGACAAGCCACCTTGAAGTAAGTCTTCCCACTCGGACACGCGCACCATCTCCAGTGCTCCCGAATGGCCGTTTCTATGGCGACGGAGCCTTGATCAATACTTCGTCATTGGCTCTGATGGCCGTTCAGGGTCGGTCTCACTCTCTCACACACACACACACACACACACACACACACACACACACACACACACAGGAAAAGCATGGCGGTGAATAAGCACGGATTGGCGAACCCGTTTGACAGATTGATTTAGCAGGAGACGAGCAGAGGTCAGACACGCGCACTCGCAGACAGCAGCGCGGTTTATCAAAGGCGGGGACGGTCAATACGTTAGTCCGAGTGAGAGGTCGCCCCTCTTTAGCGAGCATCTTTCATCTTGCTCGCATCCCTCCATCCGTTTGTGCGGCTCATCTGTCCATTTCCTCTCCGGGACTCTTCCTCGTGCCTCAATCCTGGTCAATTCAAGAGTCGATAAGTGCCGCTTTGGTACAACGGGATTACCGCTATTCACATCTTTGGCTTGGAGTATGGACTTATTTTGCGGACAACCTATTGTTTTTGACGAGACGGCGAAGAAATGGATGCGTGCCTGTCAACTGACATGACCAGTCAACGCGTCGATGAATCGACTAGTCCACATTTAAAGCTTGAAGCTCAACATCTGGCTAAGCGTGAGCCAGTTAACAGCGAGCAGCTAACCTGAACTCACGCTCGCCAACACCCACGGCACTCACTGGGGCCAGGCCCCGCCTTTTCAAGCCACACACATTCAAAGTCACACCCAGAGTGTGCAAACGTAAGGATGGCGATCCTCAATTGTATCTTAACAGTCCGTATGGACAATCTATTTTTATCCGATTGATTGACTTTGACGGAACTTTCATCACATTATAGTTGCCTCCAGAAACATCTTTAGTTGTTCATACACACACACAAACACACACACATCATAATCATGGACCCTCACACCCAAAGAGAGATGGATGTTTACGTTCCTCCGAGCTTGATTGGGCAGACGAATGACTTCATCTTCTGTACGTGCGCGTGTGAAGTGTGAAAGGAAGACGGACGGGCGAGGAAACCGATAACAAGTATTGATCGATAAGAGAAGTAGAGCGAAAATAATTTGAGGAGGAGGGGTGGGGGGGGGGTCGGAGAGAAGAGCACCTCAAAGAAACAGGAAATGGAATTGACTGATGACCCGCCTCACTTCCTGCCCTTCCCAGAAGATCTGTCCATCTATCTACCCGTTCTTACAGAGGAACAGGTGTGCTTCGGGACAGGAGGCAAAAAAACACTCTTGCATATTTAACTTGTTCTGATTAAATATTAAACGGCTCTCTCTCTCACACACACACACACACACACACACATTCGCTGACGAGACAAGTTATACAGGTCGATGGGCTAACGTGTGTCTGCATGTCTCTACAAGACAGTGTGTGTGCGTGCGTGTGTGTGTGTGTGTGTGTGTGTGTGTGAGAGGACTTCAAGCATCATTAGCTTACTTCCTCGGCATGTTGGCAAACAGGCGCACGCACACGCACACGCAAGGCTCTCACATGTTAGCATTTAGGAAGCAAAACTATAAAAGAGCCCCACCCACGCCCGGCCGGCGCTCTCTTTTGAAGCTCCCCAAAACAAAGTGCAACAACAGGAAGTTTTCACAGTGAGAAGGCGGCGCCATTTTCATCATTTTCATTCAAAAAAACAAGAACACAAGCTAACCAACCGCAACAATCGATTCTGAAAAACAGTCCAAATGAGATTCGCTCCGTGGATGTGATTTAATTCGCGATGTTTTTTTTTTTCTTCCAAACAAAAACAAATTTTACATTTAGCAAATGTTTGGGGTTTGACTTTTGCTTGACAAGACGTTTGCGAGCTGAGCCCGTAGGCACTGTGATGTCATTTTCAGTCGACGGCAAGTCGCAGGACAAGGCAAAATGGCCGCCCCCTGAGGTGGATAAAAACAGGTGATTTTTTTTTTGCTTTATTCATATTCCACAAAATTAATATTAATCTGAATCCTGTGCTTAGACCAGTGAAGGAGCATAGAACATATTGGCAAGAAATTTGGCAATTATTTATTTATTTATTACGTTTCAAGTTACACTTTGCCCTTTTTTGGGGTGTTAAAATATAATTACAGTGGGTTTAAAAAATGTGCATGAGAATGTCCACATCATTAGGGAGTGATAAAACTATATATAATTTTTTTCAGGGGGTGGGGGGGGGTTCTACATATGTCAGATTTTCATCTATCGCAGGGCAGGTGTGTAATATATCGCCCGCGATAAACGGGGCTACGCTGTAGTTAATTTTCAACCCCTCGGTCCCGCTCTCACTCAAACCCCCACCCCACCCCCCCTCCCTGGCCGTTAAGTCAGTGTAATGTAAATGATGTGCCATCGATCGCCCCTGACAGTGCAAGGACGCTCACCTCTCTCCTCTTCCTCCTCTTCTTCTTCCTCCTCCTCGTCGCCCTGTCATCTCTCCCCCCTCCCCCACATCTTTCATCTCTCTCTCTTTCTCTCCCCCATAAGTCGATGGCTCGCTCGCCCGCCCGCCTGTCATCTTTCATCCCTCTTCCGTGTTCCTCCTCTTGCCATCACTTAAGTCCTCCTTCACTCCTCACTGCCGCCATCTTTTATCTCTCAGTCAGCTTGTCGGCCAAGCCGGGTGGGGATGAAGGCGTGGAAGTCGGTGGCTTTAAAGGCAACGTCAACGTCACGTCCAGCGACGTAGCAATCGTACGCAAACATGGCGGGAGCATACGCACAAGTTCGGGGAAGTAGTTGGGGAGTACAAAATATAGTGAGGAAAATAAATTGTAGATTAGAGACACCTAAAAAAAAAATCTTAAGTATAGTTACAAAGTATTTCCCACTATTGCGCCACATGTCACCCCGAGAGTCTTCCTGTATGCCTTCATCCTATTTTGCCCCCTCGATGACATTCCTGTCCGACTCAGAGGGTGTCATCCTCCTTTTCTGCTGAGTCGGTGCTTCACACACACACGCGCGTACGTGCGCACACACCACAGCTGTTGAGAGACTTTTTTTTTTTTTTTTGCGGAAGGGTGGGGGTGGGGGGGGGCTTTATTGGATTGTCTGTGTCCTCTATTTGGATAAGGAGAAAGACGCGAGGGCGCAAGGAGGGGAAAAGGGATGAGAAAAATTAGAGGATAGTGGAAAGAGAGAGCTGAAAAGTCAAAT